GCAAAGGAGTGAGATTCCAATTCACAAAAAAAGCAATCGGGAAGATGGGAAATAACCAGGAAAAGACTGAAAGGGACAGCCAATGAGGTAGAAATGAGCAGAAAGGGCAAGTGTTATCCCAACAGGCAAGTGAAGAAAGTGTTAAAAGGAACAGGCAACTGATCAGCTATGTTAAATGCTACTGATGGAATGTGAAAAATGCAATTTCTCTCAAAATATATTTTGCTGAGTTTAATTAGCAAATACCGTATACCAAGTATGCAAAGAAAACACCTTGCTGTAATGATCAATGCTACAAGTCAGCAGAAACGATCATCAAAGTTTTTTCATGACCTTTAATTTTTGTCTTCCTACAAAAGAAACCCAGTACTCCAATGCCTCATAGCTCCTACCCTACTTCCCACTCTATACTTTCATATGATTTCTATACCTCAACTTTCACTATGCCAATGTATCATCTAGGTGACCAGGGTTAGCAATTCCAACTTGTGCTTTTCAAGTTAGAAATATATGCAACCTTAAATCTTAGGCTCAAGCAATCCTCCCACCTCAGCCTCTTGAGTACCTGGGGCTACAGGCATGTGCCACCATGTCCAGCTAATTTTTTATTGTTTTTGTAGAGACTGGTCTCACTATGTTGTCCAGGCTGAAGATACATAAAAATCATCACAACATCTATGTATACATTTGTTCAACAAATTGAGTGCCCACCTTATGTCAAGCTCTATAGTAGTTGCTGGAAATGATCTGGTAAGAGAAACAGTCTGACTTTCAGAATGTATGGTTGCTTGGAGCAACCCAAAACAATTACCAAACCATATGAGAAGAGTACTAGAATCTGTGGGAAAACAAAGGAGAGGCACTTGGAAGAATGTGGGAAACCACTGAAAGTTATTAACTAAGGAAATAATATGGTAACCACACAAGGAGACTAGACAAGGGGGAGACAGGTAGCAGGAAGAAGCTGTTGTAACAGTGAGGAAGATAAAAAATGTTGAAAGTCTGTGACAAGTCATTGGAACTTGTAAGGAGAAATGAGCAGTCAATCAGGAAGTAGAACCAAGGGTAGAGTGATTGATTAGCTATGAAGGATAAGGAAGAAGAGAAGTCTAGAATCCAGGCCAGTTGAACAGGTGATCCATGCTGTCACTGCAAGCATAAAAATAACAGGTATAGGTGAATGAGAGGTGGATGAGATGATGACTTTGGTATCTGTGTTGAGTTTGAGAGATACATAATACCTAGGAGATGTGCACTCATCAATTGGATGTAGGGTCTGGAATTCTAGAAAGGAAGTAGGTTAGATATAAAGGTTTGGGATTATCAGACTGTAGGTAGGTTGATTTTGAGACAGGGTCTTGCCTTGACACACAGACTGGAGTGCAGTGGCACAATCATAGCTCACTGTAACCTCAAACTCCTGGGCTTAAGCAATCCTCCTCCCTCAGCCTCCCAAGTAGCTAGGATTACAGATGTGCACCACCATGTCCTGTTGATTTTTTTTTGAAGACGGGAGTCTTTGCAATGTTGTCCAGGCTGGTCATGAACGCCTAGCTTCAAGTGATCCTCTCACCTGGTCTCCCAAAGCACTGGGATTACAGGCATTAGCCACCAGGCCTGGCCAGTAGATTGATTTTGACTCCATTGAAGAGTGTGTAGACTGAAAAGAGAGAAGGGTAGAGTGAAGAACTCTGGAAAAATATAATATTTAAGCATGACTAGAAGATTAGAAGCCCACAAAGATACTTTAAACAAGTGAGCACAGAGACGGGAAGCAAAGGCAAAGAAAAAGTTGTCATGACAATCAAGGGAAGAAAGTTTCTGAAAGGGAAAGAAGTCAAGGTAAGAAAGGAAAGTCATTCCCTAGACTTACATGAAGAGAGTAACCTTGCCTGAAATCACCTAACAAATCAGTAGCATGTCTTTCCTGCCATAAGAGCCTCAGTAACCATACTCCTTTTATTTATTTTTTAATTAATTCTTTGTACTAGGATGTTCCCTCTGAAGGGACATCATAAATTTAGCAAACCACTTGAATGTCCCCTCTTGGGGAACAGAAAGATTGCTGATAATTATATATGACAAACTTATGTCAGCACAAATTTTCCAAAAATGTATGTTTCCTTGAAGTTTCCCATTCAGATTGCACAAAAAAGCAAATAAAGACTATATACTTGATGATCAGTTGAGAAGTGGTTTTCAGGAATCGCGAGTGTATTTCCTTCCATATCTTCCTCAAGCATCAGACTGGACAATAAATTACATATATTAATGTGTGAGGAAGAAAACGAGACTGTGTTGTATGCTTGACTAGAAAAATACCAGGTGGAAGATATAAAACAAATTACTATTGCATAATATGTATCAATGAACCTGCAAAGCATGTCGGTGACTGTTTCACACATTACCACTTGTTAGAAAAATGTAAGATATAAAATTTTTGGTTTTTGGTCATAAATAAGTTCCTCAATGTCCAAAATCCCATTATAAGCCAAATATTATTACAATAAAAAAAAGACTCCAATGCTCTATTTAATATGAAGTGATTTATTTGTTTTTTGCTATTTTGTAAAAAAGTGCAGTTGAGTTGTTGCTAGGTGATCCGTGAGACATCTCTGGGGACGAAGCGTTAAAGATAGTCTATAAGTGAATCACAATTATTTCAAACGAAAAAGTTTGTAAAAATAGTTTCATGCTAGGCATGGTGGCTCACACCTGTAATCCCAGCATTTTGGAAGTCAGAGGTGAGAGGAATGCCTGAGCTCAGGGGTTCAAGATCAGCCTGGCAACTTGGTAAGACCTCGTATCTACAATAAATCAAAAAAATTAGACGGGCATGTTGGGCGTAGTTCCAGCTGCTTGGAAGCCTGAGGCAGAGGGCTCCTTCAAGCCCAGGAGGTCTAGGTTGCAGTAGCCATGAGCATGCCACTGCCCTCCAGCCTGGGCGACAGAGTGAAACTCCTACCCCCCTCAAAAGTTCCACAATACAGTCTTTTTAAAGAGATCCAGAAACATTTACATTTTTCCAGTAAGCCTCACATTACCTAACCTAAGGCTCACATGCAAGGAAGATGAAAGTGTTAAACAATTTGAATGTGGAGGAGGGAAAAAACCCTCAAAACCTGGAGAACACATGTCCTTTCTAAAAAGAGCAGTCGCAGCCAATTCTTACTACATGACCATATGGGCCAGTCTTGCCAGAGTCATCGTTTTTTAAAGAAAAGCTAGAAATCTGGATTTTTATGTGAAATCTCTCCATTTTAAAATGTAGCCAATTAATTTAACTGTCTTTCAAAATATTTTGTAATCTTTTTTTTTTTTTGGGTTGGAGTCTCACTCCTTCGTCCAGGCTGGAGTGCAGTGACATGCATGCTCATGGCCACCCCAGTGCCAACCGTCTTGGCTCCAGCAGTCCTTCTGCCTCAGCCTTTTGCGTAGTTGGAACTACAGATGAATGCTCCCACGCCTGGCTATTTTTTATTTTATTGTAGAGACAAGGTCTCACCAGGTTGCCTGGACTGGTTTCGAACCCACTGGCTCAGGCAATCCACTCACCTCGGCCTCCCAAAGTGCTGGGGTTAGAGGCTGAGCCACCAAGCCCAGCCATATTTTGTAAACTTAAAACACATCAGTAGGTTCAAGATGGCTCATAAATTCTCAGTTTTTTATCTTTGCCCTAGAGTCCATATCATATAGCATTTTAATTTTATACATTGAGGAGAAATTAGGTTACAAATAAGAAAGGCTCATCAGCAGTTAACAGAGCCAGATCTAAAATCTAGGTCTTTTTGTTCCCAAGCGAATATCTCGTTCCTCTGTGATTATGCAGCCTCTTTACCTCACAAATGAAATATACACACAGGTTAGTCAGACACGCAAGTTAATAAGCACAACATGCTGTAATAAATTTAGAAAAGACAGCCTAAGTGTCACATTTAATTAATAGATGCTATCTCCCTTGAGATGTTTTTGGGTAGAAGCTCCAGGTGACTTATCAAATCAATTGTCTGTGCTTCACAAATTCTGCTTTAAGTATATAGGACACAATTATAAGATATCATTAAGCAAAATCATAACTTAGTTAAACAAACATCTTTATGCCAAGTTTAAAAAATAACATCATGTAGTTTCTATTTCTGGAGAAAAGTTCAATTGTTGGAGGCCTAATAGAAAGCTGGACTCTGATGACTAAGACTTTATTTATAATCATCCATTTATTCAACATATATTGTGAGTCTACACTTTCCTGTTCAGTAGGCATAGATCCTCAAGCCCAGGGAATATTCATTTAAACGAGTTATTTTCAAGGAAACGTGGAGTGAGTGCTACAGTAGTCCAAAAGGAAAGGGCTAGCATAGCTATTTAACTTCTTGGTCCTTGTTAACAGCCCTTTTGCAAAGAACCAGGTACAAGGCTTTGGAGGGACCTAGACCCACCCACTCGTTCTGCCAGTCCACAGCTGTGACACCGTGAACAAAAAAGGAATCATTCTTTTGCGTTCCTCTCCTTCCTAAGGAGTTATTGTACTCTTGTCACGCAACTGTCACCTGTAGAGTCCAAACAAATGGTAGCTATATCCTCTGATTGAAGCCACCCAAGACAATGTCAGGTTTTCTTAAACTTCTGGGAGTCGCAAACGGGCTTGGACTTGAAAGACGCCTTCTGTGCAAGGAGAGGCAAGTCTCACCGGTGAGCAGCAGCCGAGTCAGTCTGGTGTCAGTCATCTGAACCTAGCAGCGTTTGCAGAAAATCTAATCCAAATACAAACCCACCAGCTTTTACCGTAGTCGTTTAATATTCACATGAGAACGTGGTCTCAAGGTGTCACCGGGCCCGGCTCGAGCTTTTTTGCCTAGGCTCGGGCGATGTGAATCTAGGACAGGGCCCACACTTCCTGGATGAATTGTTATTCATAGCCAGAGCCGGGAGCAGCCAAAGCCGACCACAGCTGCGCGGCAGCGCGGGGCCGCCGCCATGCAAGCAGGTCTCACACTGCTCACCTTCACAATCGGCCCGCGGCCGCCCCCCGGCCTCCTGACCCTGCGCCGGCACCGGCTTAGAGGCCCAAAGCCCGGCGCAAAGAGCGACCACGGCAGCTGGGCCGGCACACCACATGCTGGGCCAGCGGTTCCGATCGCCTCCGCCGCCCGTGCCCACCGCCAGCTGTGTTGCTACCGCCGGAGGCTGCGACAGCACGCTGGAATGCCGAGCGGGAGGCAGCAGAGTCTGCCGGGAGTTGCTAGGACAAATGACGCAACTCCGCCGAGAGCTGCCATTGGCTCTCACGAAAGGTGCACGAAAGGGGGCGGGGCGAAGGAGCTCCTCCTTGCGCTCCCCGGCAGGCGCGTGCGCACTACCACACGCGTCGTGCGGAGCCCGAGGAGCGCGGAGGGACGCGCTAAAGCGATTCGCTGACCGCTCGAGAGGAAAGGCGGGACCTTCACGCTGATTGGCGGCGACGCGGGAGGTCGGCGCGGCGGACCGGACGCGGGGGGCGGGCGGGAACGTGAAGTCTCCGCGGGGCTTGGTGGGGCCGTGCGGCGGCGGCTAGCTGTGGCTGCCGAGGGGAGCGAACCCGTCGTCCCTGCCGCCTCATGGCGGCCATCGGAGTCCACCTGGGCTGCACATCAGCCTGTGTGGCCGTCTATAAGGTGAGGGGCCGGGAGCGTGGGGTTGCGGGCCTCGTGTCCGCCACCCCGTCTCCCGGGCGCGGGACATCCAGAGGCTTGGGAACGGCGTGTCGCCGGCCATCCCCGGACGTCGCGGAGTGGCGTTGCTGTGGGGACGCTTCGAGGCGAAGGGCTGAGCGGGCCCGGTCCCGTCCCCCGCGGCTCCCCCGGAAAGCCGGCCGCTCCCTGGCGGAGGCTCGTGGCGACCCGACAAGCGGGGCTCGGGGGTCGTTGTGGCAGCAGGGTGCGCCGAGGGTCCTAGGGACGTTAGGGCCTCAGGATGCCGGGAGGGGGGTCCCGGGGACACGAGGACCTCAGGATACCGAAAGGAGTCCCCGGGGACATTAGGGCCTCAGGATGCCGGGAGGGGTCCCAGGGAGGTGAAGGCCTCAGGATGCCGGGAGGGGTCCCAGGGACTTTAAGGCCACAGGATGGCGGGAGGTGTCCCAGGGACGTTAGGGCCCTAGGGTCCCCGGTGGGAGAGGGGAACTCTGGGGGACGATGGGGCTGCAGGATGCTCAGAGAGCTCTGGGGGACGTCTTGGCGACAGATGCCAGGAAAGGTCACGGGAACGAGGGGGCCACAGGGTGCCCTGGGGGGGTCCCCGGGATGTCCTGGCCACTGGATGTCCGGAGGGGTCGCGCTGACGTCAGGGTCTCAGGATTCCCGCGGGCGGGGGGCGGTCCTGGGCAGCTGGTGGCCGCAAGATGCCCGCAGGCAGGTGGTCTCGGGACGTCGGGGCCGCAGGACGCGCTGAGCTGGGCCCGACGTCTGGGACCCAACCCGGAGGGACCCGGAGCTGTCGATCCCGCGAAGCCAGCTGATGGTGCCTGCTCCAGGCTCTCGCGGTCTTCCTGGAAGCCAGAGAGCTTGACAAGGCGTGGTGTCCCTCTCATCCACGGGGAGGCGGAAAGACCGAGCGTAAGGAGCACTCCTGCCGCTGGCCTCGCGTTTAGATGTCCAGCCAGAGGAATGAGTGAAAGGGTAGCCTAATGAAACCTTTGCTCTTTTGTATGGAAAGCTGTTACTGTGTTTGATCCAGTTGTTGACTGTGCAGAGCAGATTGAAAAAATGGGCAGTTCCTCATGGAGGGTGGGCCTTTTATAGAAAAAACAAAAGAGCTTGAGAATTAATCGCCGCACTTTAAAAGCTTAAAATATTGATATGACAGTTTTTCTTTCCACAGAGATGGCAGAGTAACGCTGGCCCACATATGTCAGAATATGTCTAATGAGACTTTAGATTTCATTTCCGAAGAACTCACATAGTTGTGTGTTTTTCTCTAGGATGGCCGGGCTGATGTGGTTGCAAATGATGCTGGTGATAGAGTTACTCCAGCTGTTGTTGCCTACTCAGAAAATGAAGAGGTACGATTCCCCTCATTTTGTTCTTTGAAATATTTTTAAAGTTATGTGCATTGTAATACCCTGCTCTTTTTCAGATTGTTGGACTGGCAGCAAAACAAAGTAGAATAAGAAACATTTCAAATACAGTGATGAAAGTGAAGCAGATCCTTGGCAGAAGGTATAGAATAAAATGATACTCTTAAATATGGTCGTAAAAGCGTGTATAAATTGTAAACATAATGTGAAATTGCTTTTTATGTCTGAATCATTTCAGAGATTACCCCAGTAGGTTGTTCCCTTGATTATTAATGTTGGGGTCTTCTAAAGGATAGGATCCACACAGACATTTGTTTCTTCCCAGCAGGTCTGTTAGTATTGATAAATGCCAACATTCACCTGATTTTGAAAATTTGGGTCATTTAGAGGTGGTAATTTGGACTTTTCACATTTTTATATTTTTTAACTGAGGGAAGTTCAAAGATTTTGTGGGAATTTGAAAACTTCTTTGCACTGTGGTTGAATTTTGCAAAATCTATTACAACTGGTTATAATTTATGTAGATACTATTGATTTTCTTCCTCAGGGCGTTTTGTGACACTTTCTGGGAACTGACTTTTCCAGTTGGCTTACAAATCTAATCATTAGAGAAACAGCTTAATTAACATTTTATGTTAAGAATCAGGTTAATCATCTGTTGTAACTTTAATTAAAAGATTAAAGAGGCTTGCTCTCCCCAGACTTATGTCTCTTCAAATTATAGATTACCATAATAATTAGGGGTTTTCATTTTCACTACAGAAGTAATACTTGACAGTGTGTCTTTAAATTTTCAAGGTGCTTTCACATCTATTATTTTATTTAATCCTCTCAACATCCCTGTAAGATTGGTAGAGCAGGTACTGTCCCTCCCCATTTATAGATGAGAAAATAAAGTCACAAAGAAATTGTGGTGTTTGTAAATTACTTAGAGAGGTGAGTTAAGTAGGGCTGCCCAGTTTTTTTCCTTTCTACTTTGATTAGTGATAATATCAGTAAAAATTTATTTGTGTTGCTTTTAGGATTTGGAGATTATAGAGTAAACGTAACACTAATCATTTATACATACAGGTATTTTTTATTGTCTCTTACCTATGTCTAATTACATTGAACTTGGTATTTGTTAAAGATAACTTTGTTCTAAGGCAAAACATATAGTATTTTGGAGAGAATTCAAAATTTTGTGAGGATAAATATATTCCCATATCTCTTTACCTATTGGCAAAACTTAGTTCTAAGCATATTAAAGACAAATTAGTTGGTGTCACATATTCAAATCACAAATTCTGGAAAAAAAGCTGGGAGTTGTAGATGGTACAACAAATATACTAAGGCAACGGTATATTTGTGGTTTTTGTTTTGCTTTGTTTTTTTGAGTTGGAGTCTCACTTTGTCACCCAGGCTGGAGGGCAGGGGCACACTCTCAGCCACCACAGCTTTGACCTGCTGAGCTCAGGCGATTCTTCCGCCTCAGCCTTCCAAGTAGCTGAAACTGCAGGTATGCGCCACTATGTCCGGCTAATTTTTTTTTCTTTGATTTACTGTAGAGATGAATCCTCACCAAGTTGCCCAGGCTGATCTTGAACCTGCGGGCTCAGGCAGTTCTCTCACCTCGACCTCCCAAAGTGCTGGGATTATAGGTGTGAGCCACCGCACCCAACCTGTTTTTTTTTTCAGTTAAACTTTTAATTTCGAAATAACTGTAGTCTTACGTGCTGTTGTAAGAAATTGTACAGTGACATCCAGTATATTACTGGAGTTTCTACTTCCCCGAAGGTTACATCTTGTAAAATGTAGTATAATAGCAAAACCAAGACACTGACATTGATACAATTCAAATACAGAACATTTCTATAGGTCTTTCCCCTGGTAGCCAACAATATGTTTTTGTTTTGTTTGTCTTATGCTGCTATTTGGGGGCAGATGGCTAGAGTAATGATGTGGCTGTCATCTGCCATATTATACAAAAAACTGTTAGCAGAACAACTTAAGCCTGCTTTTCTGGCACTGCAAGTTACCTTTTAGCAAAGGAATGCATTCGTGACAGATGGGTAACAGAGCCACAGCATATTACTTGGCAAGGTCAGTGACGGATGTGCACCTTTCAAGACATAGTGCCACATCATGGTCCTGCTTGTACTTCTCCAGTTAGTCTCATGGAGACTGTTTTCCTTCTCACTCTGTCTGTTCTCCAGACAGTGGTGATTTTTGCAGATTCATAGTTGTCCCATGTCTCAGCCTTGGAAGCATTCAGCCCTTTGTAGAGGAGCCAGTTCTTTCGTTACCAGTCCTTTCGTTACCAAGATGTTAAACCCCCAGTCTAATACCCTCTCCACCCTGGGCAGATTCCCAAAGTTGGGCTTTCTCAGTCTTGGCCTCATGCTTGTTTATGACCTACTCACAGGTAGCACCACTTAACTTGCTGCCGAAATTATCTTTACACCCTTCCTGTAACTCTCATTCATTCCCCTGTGGCCTTCCAGCCAGAAATGCGGTCCTTGGACCTGGCTTCTCAGCAATTATCCCTGAGAGGGAAGAATCGGCTGGCTCCAGGAGTTGTACTGAGAGCACACAGAACTTCCCCACACCTTCAAATTTGCACCTTGCTGCCCAGGAACTTCCCAGCCTTCCTTCCCAACCCACTATGGCCAGTACCAATAGCAGTGCCGGCATCCGGTGGTCCAGACAGGAGACACGAACTCTTCTCTCCATACTAGGCGAGGCAGAGTATATTCAGCGCCTCCAGACTGTGCATCATAATGCAGATGTCTATCAGGCTGTGTCTAAGCGAATGCAGCAGGAAGGCTTCCGCCGCACCGAACGTCAGTGCCGCTCCAAGTTTAAAGTCCTGAAGGCGTTGTATTTAAAGGCCTATGTTGCCCATGCCACAAGTATGGGTGATCCACCACACTGTCCGTTTTATGACACGTTGGATCAGCTTCTCCGAAATCAGATAGTGACTGACCCAGAAAACTTATTGGAGGATACTGCTTGGGCCAAACACTGTGATCAGAACTTAGTGGCCTCTGACGCCCCAGGGGAAGAGGGAACCAGCATTCTGAAAGCAAAAAGGACTCAGGCAGCTGATCGCCAGCCTATCTTGA